CTCGAGATCATACAAAAACTTTTTGCGTTAATGTACATTTTTTGTTGTGGCGGCGAGACTTTTGTCGATCTGTTGGTTCGTTCGAATAAAGCTATATTGTATCTAGTATACATTCTTCTTCTTTGACAAAATCGATTTTGGTGCTGATTATTTATTAAGTTCGTAAAGTATATGCAGCACTAGTCGAGATGAATCGATCTCATCTCATTAATCAATCTTCATTCACCGATAAACGCCTAGTCATTTTGAGAATCATTCGTCGACTTACACGTATATCGATAATACATTTTATATGTCTACTTATACTGTAATTGAATACTATTTTAAGGGCATAGGGTAAAAAGAATTAAATCCCCTTTTTAATGCAATTATAACTTACTTCGACGATGACGTTAAGATATATACGAAAATAAATTCGTAATATAAAAGTCGAAAGAAATTTTTTAAGATATTAAATTCTTGTTACAGAATGACGCATTTGATATGTTTAATAAATTACATCATTAATTTTTAATTAGATGTTAATGATATTAGAAAAACGTGAAACGTTGCTCAGTCAAATGAATCATAAAGTTACGACACAACAATAGTTACGATAGTATCAAATTATACAAATATTTAACTACTAGTAGCAATAATGTTCCGCAAAATTTTATATTTAAAATTAATTACAACTCACGAAATCTTATGAAATTGATTGGACTATCTAATAATAATTAAAACAAAATTTTTTGGCTAATTTTTATGATTAATATAATTCGTGAGAAGATTGACAAGGAAAATTAAAAAATGCATGGTATTCAGTTCTTATTTACCTGTGCCCTTCGTGATACTAAGCGTCGCTCGCGCTATTCAAACCTAAAAAAGATCGCGCCGAAATGAACGATTAGGGAAAATCAATCGAAACGCAGAGAGACTTTTAGACGATTTTCGAAGAAAATGCAGTCGGAACGAATGACCAATTAGAGAAACATTCTTGAACGTTGCCGGACGTAGTAGCATAACGCCCGGCAATGATTTTGTGCCTCTTCGATTGTCCCCCCTTTTTCCCATCGCTGTCCCGTACATAATTACCGTACACAATTTAGTTTTTATTTTGCTTATTTCATTCGTAAATAGTCAAGACCGTACGATTAATCATTATCGATTATCTTTTTGCGCGTGCGCGCACTCTTGCATCTGCATGCGTGTATGTGTTCAATTAATTAATTCATTCATTATAGCATATGTTCGCCGTTCCTAATATCATGCTATAACAGTACAGGATACTATATACAATCAAAGTAACAGCGTTATTTTTATTGTTATAGTTATTATTATTATTAATAATATTATTATTAATATTATTATATTATTATAATTATTATAATAATTATTATTCTTCTCATCTAATCTAATCTTTCTTTTTCAATAGATCGGCGCGTCCGCGTCGTCACGCTATGTTGCTCATGTACGAAGTGCTTAAGGCAGAATATAACCCGTTATATCCCATTGTAAGATTTGCCATTAGGATACGGAAGTTCGTGAGATTTCATAGTGGACCACTCCGAACGGTCCAGTAGTTTTGTCGATGACACACGTGCAATTATTTTCTCGCGTATCGCGTAATATAATAAGAATAAAAAAATTTAAGAAGAATTAATCGGGATCTTCTCTCCATTTTTCGTCTTGTCAGAACTATCTATTCACTTTAACGCATTTCGAATCATCTGACTAAGAAAGTTCAGTGTAAAATATCACAAAAAAGTGTTTGAAATGAATAAAATTATCCTGCTTTGACAAATCCATCAGTCTTCCATCGACTATTCCAATTCCGAAAGAATTTGAGTTTGGGATATAATGAGTCATTTTTGTTTAGTTTGTAACGTATCCATGTTATTTATGCTGTTCTGCGTTTGTATGTATGTCTTTCGTTTGTCGCTTGCCATCACTGCTTGTCACTCATATATTCTCTCGGCTCGAATTTTTCTCCGTTTCATCCGATTGTATCGTTATCGCACATTCTTCTTTTTTAAGAGATGCAAATAATTTTTTCTTGTTAAAAAAATTGTTGCAAATAATTGTAACGTAAGTAAAAATAATTATAAAATATAGCACTTACTTTTTTAAATTGATAACTTTATTTCTTGTATTTATTTTTAATTATCTGCAATCATTCTACATGTAATCTGTAAATAATCAATTGTTTAGTATATTAAATATCTATTTGATCTTTGTTTCCATCAATTTTTTGAAAAGCAAAGCTGAAATTATTACATTATTTAAAATTCATTAAAATTGTTAAATTGATAATTATGCGACATTCCGTATTCTGCGCTTTATGAAAAAAATGATAATAAGTAATATTCAAAATTGGCAATCAATTTTATTTTTCATACGTTTTAAACATACTGTAAATATCATTTTGTATTGTAGACCATATAGCTGTCCAAAATTTGAATAGTATACAGCATTTTGCTACTTTGTTTAAAAAGATTCCGTGAAGATTCTTAGATATATAAAAGTTATTTTATTATTTTATCGTGTTGTGCAAAACTGAAATTCGAGCTGAAGAAATAATGTCGACGTATTTTTCCGTCTTTTCCTTTTTTATTCGTTCCTCACACAATTACTCGGCTACGACAAGACGCGGTAACGTCACTCCAACTCAATTTGTCGATTACAAATTAAGCGGTGTCACTATTAAATTATTGCACATTGAATGAACAATTACTGCTGAGTTCTCGGATATTCTTTCGAGATTCCTTCTTTTTTTCTTTCATGAACGGAAATAGTAGCCTGGAGATTCATTACGTCTTACTTACGATTACTAACTAGCCCCATTCTCTCTATCGCTCCTTTTTCCATCATGTTTTCACGTATATATGTCATGTATATGTATGATAGTATGTATCCTTTGCGTGTTTTTTGTATGTATTTATACATAATCATATGAATGTATGCAGGGGTGCTCCGCTTCTCTATTATATTATTCCTTCAACGAATTTTCGCGACTAACATTTATTTTTATTGTTAAAATGTCAGATCAATCAATTTTAAATTACAATAGTATTGGTAAATATATATTTTATATTAAATATTAATTTAATAAAAATTTTAATAAAAAATTTAATTATCCAGCTATTTAAGATTAAAAACATACAGGTACTAAATTAGTGAAAGAAGTAAAAACATGAATGACATAAGTAGCAGAACACCTCGGATGCATATTCACATATACATATGTTTCGTTCATTAGTGCCTACTTATTGTTAGTCAAGGAGGAATGTAGTCGTAATGGTCGTGTCGGGTTGAGCGAGATAAAAAATCGAACGACAAACACTTGCCGTTCGATGTTCGACTGATAATTACATAAGAGGAAACTCTAATAATTGACACGGTGAAAAAATTTGCAATTTTCCCGTGCATCGCTCGGAGTTCAATGATTACGATTAGCTAGGCCTTTTTTTCATCGCGGTTACGGCTAAAACGTACTCCCTAAAGTTAGGTAGGCTAAATGTCCTCGCGTCTTCGATTATCTCACGATTATAATTAACATCGCTTAGGCTATTGCTCATATAGGCGAGGTGTAAACGTTTAACTTCTGATCTGGTTAATTATTTCGGTGCTACGCTCGAATCGTGATGACGTTAAATGTTCATTAAATAATATCGATGACGAAACGTCGCGTTTACGCGAGTTGATGCGAATTGCGGATGTTCGTGTAGGGCTTTGACGAATTTTGATTGATCTGAGATGTGCGAATGATGCGGCGATCAATGATATATCAATAATGACGAGCTGCTAAGACAAAGAAGAGAACGCATTTAGAGAATTGATAGTCTAATGATAGATTATTAACACATTATATTAAATAAATAGCAATAACAAATTAAATCTTTCGGAGAATATTCGTTATACATCTCGAACGTGCTACCTCGTGAATTCAACTCACGGTCGCGCGTTCCCGTTACGAAAATTATCTGCTTTACGTTTAACTAAGTGAGAACTAACTCTGTTGCAAATGCACACTTTGCGAACGGGCGAAATGCTGAAGAACGACAGTCTTTCTGGAACTTAGCACCGAGAGGGTTAATCATTCAGCATAGATAAAAGATCGAAACCTGGTCGGCTCCGCGCACTTCACAGCTCACAAAATGCATGTGGGAAAAAGTTTTACTTACAATTAGCCTTTCGCCGTTCGGAAGCGTCGGAGCGACGGACATGTTTGATTTTTACCGTGTATAAGAAAGAATAGGAAGGATCTATAGTCTTCCTTAGTACGGTGGCTTTTTAACTACAGTGTGCAATATATTTATAGAACACGTTCTCTTAATTATCATTAATTTGCATTTAGACAATGATTATACGTTGTTGTTGCACGATGAAATAAAAACGGAACCCTAGTTGTATTTAATAGTTCAATTGTACTGTGTAGATGGCTATATAATTATTGCCATGCATTGATTTAAATAAATTAAAAACGATACATCTCTCTTTTACTGTCACACTGCGAGTTATAAAGCCACTGCGTCCCTCGGTGGTGCATCTTGTCTGACACACCTCGTTCGAGCGCCGTGAATCGAGCATAGTCCATCTCCTACAGAATGACTAAGAATAACGCGGAAAATCGAATCGAGCCGAATCCTTAGATCCTTAAAGGACATAAGATCGAATTCTCCCTCCGGATTTAAGATCGCATCTATCCTATTGCCCTTAAACATGCTCTCACAAGCGTTAACTATTTTTTTTAATCGTCAGATACGCGCGCTACAATGATTGTATATGCTCTCCGGGGCCTCATATCACCTATATTGTCGCGAGATATGATCCTTCATAGTGGATATTTCTAGCGTAATAAAGTCACTCTCGCATTGTCATCGGCGTTGACGATTGACAGTCGAGGATGTGATACGATTAGAGATATCGATGTATTCGCGGGAATCACTCATATATAGTACACGGTAGAATATAATACATACGTTTTACTTCTTTATATTATGTATATATATATATACATATATATACACATATATATATATATACACATATATGTATAATACATGTATGTATATATACATCACTCTGTGTCTGCTCCCCTTATTGGGAAATCAATTCCTTACGACAAACATACATATCGTCCCTGCTTCGCCGTTTGTTACGTACATACATACAAGTGTTTAATATGGTTTAGCGGAACATCAACAATGTACTTTATAAGGCCCAAATATTGTGCGCTACTTGTTCAATCAAATACGCGAAAGAAGTTTTTTTATTTTCTTTTTTTTTTTTGCGAAAGCGATACTGCGCCCTCGGTTCGCTCGATCATGCTCGATCCACGGAGGGCGCGCGACGGCTTCGATCGACAATCAGTGCTGAAGACCAATCCATTAATTCGTGGATTTGAGATCTCTTCGAATTTGCAGAAATTTTACGGCTACATGGAGCAATCATTTCTGCAGTAATCTATTTGTTGCTGTGTAACGACTTCTCGATGGACCATAATCTTGCACAGTATTTATTCTGCTGTACGCTTCGTTACAATTTGGATAATTATGTGAAAATATATTGTATTATTTACATAGACTTTAAATATTGCATTATTTATAATGCGATATCTTTTTAACATGTAATACAAGTTAACCGTGAAAATGTGAATTGCAAAATCCATGATAACCTTTATGAGTACGGTAATAGATAAGTAAATTTCTGAAATTCTTTTCTTCATAGTTGCTTTAAGTAAGCGGTATTGCAATTATTTTGTCTGCGGAATAATATTTCCCAGGAAACTTTTCAATTGCAAATAACAATAAGTTATTCATAAAATTATTCGTTTTTTAAATGCATATTACATAATGACGTTCATGCTTTATGAAATTCGCAAGAAAAAAAAGAACCTTCAACTCTCTGATACATTATACTCATTCTAAATATTCATTACCTTATTAATTCTAATTTATTCATAATGTAACAACCATGTGTTATTTTAGGTGTATATGCAACGCACTCTGAGATATAGAGCGAACAAGTCTTTCAAGACGTATCTGATTTACGATACCTAAATGATAAATGATAAGAGAATGACGGAGAGATTGTTATCGTCCATATCAGAGAGTTAACAATACGAATTTGTATAACGTATCTGTTCAAATTTCTGCATTTCGATTTCCAAGTTGGAATCCACCAGCCTAAAAAACCCGCTTTACAAAACGTTCGACGTTTATCAAGCCCGACTGTCGATAGATTGTCGAATAATGCATCGCTTTCAGCGAAAAATTTACAGATAGAGAATTAACTTTGGTATAGATTAATCTCTATATTTGTTATTACGGTAGAGTTGCATGTGGTGTTCAGTACTAAAAAATGTCGCGGGTAAATCCTTGATGTTGATACTAGAGAAGTTATTCTCGCACCGATTGTCTCTCGAAGGGCCACTAGCGCCGCGTCTCGACGCTCACCTTGCGAATGGTGATCAAGGCAAAGATCACCGCAACTCGAGCGAGCGATTCAAGCGGAAAAGCGAACGTTCCGGACGCGCACGCGCTCATTGCTAGCCGTAAGCTCGGCCCGCGACTGTTCTGGGCTTAGATCGTAACAGCGACTACGCAATCTCGCCCGCGATCGCAAACGACAGCTCGATCTTAGGCTTAGAACCTTAGAGCTTAGCGGATCAAAATCGGTGACGTAATCGTCGATCTAACTCCGTTGACGGGGTTGCGATGTTGCGCGAAGATGATCGGACGCGGATTCCGGAAACGAATCTCCCTCGCGACGGCGCGGCGGCGACGTCGACTCTCCGCGAGCGCCGATTGTCCTGTCGATGATCCCGTTCATCCTCTCTCTGCGAACTGTCGATCTCTCGATTTTCTTTCCTCCTGCGACGATGTAATAGACGGACGACACGCGTCGGGCGACTACGGGAGGACGGGGTTTCCCCGCTGGAATGCCTTGCCAAGAGTGTGTTGGTTTCGTCCTTTTCTATCTCCCTTTAGATCCAGGGCCCTCAAGTGGCGCTGTCGAGGATAATGGACCTCCTGCTGTCCTTGTGACGGCGACCGACCAGCTGGTGGATTTGCGCGGTGACGCTCGCGGACGATCGTCCGGGCTCCTCGACCGTTGAGGTGGCCAGGACCATCGCGAGAGTGGGCGATGACGACGACGACGACGACGACGAGAAAGAGGACGAGGCGATGGCGGCACCATCACGGCGACCGACGGTGCTCGTCGATTGGCTGTGTCGCGACGACGTCGAGCCGCCGTTGCTAGACGTCACGGACGGCGTCCTCGTCGTCGTCGCCGACGGCGCCGCGGATTGCTCCGACGCCGTCGACGACGTTGTCGAGCTTCCGACGAACTGTTGGTGTCTCGTGGTTGACGACGCTTGTTGCTGCTGCTGCTGTTGTTGCGACCTGATGGCATGGTAGGCGTTTCTCTGCTGAGCTCGCGACACGGACGAGGTGTACGAGTCTGCTGCGTGACCTTGCCTGAGATCATAGGAGCCGCTGTCGTCGCTGATGCTGGAGGATGACGAGTAGTGCGTGGGCGACGAGACGGGGGAAATGGTGCTCGCAACGAAGGTGGTGACGGCGGTGGTGATGGTGCGCGTAGTGCCGGGTGTGCCGGTGACCGTTGGTAGAGCTGCTTCCTGTGCACCGTTGACCAGCGATTGGACCGCAAGGTCCGGTGGATGGCGTACGAGAGGCTCAGGAACAGCGACTGGAGGACGTTGCTGCTTGTCGTCGCCCAGATCGCCAGCGCAGCCGTAATCGTAGCTGCAGCAAAGCTGCCCGTCCTACGGAGAGGTTCGTGGAAGACTTCGGTTAACCACGGCGGAGGGAATTTGAGTGCTTGTTGGTTTATAGTCGTTGGACTCCGGTTTGGAAAGTCTTGGCTGGCGTATGATGTATGAGAGAGCGCGATAGCATGGTAACATCCGGCTATACGACACGTTCGAGATGAAAATGGCAAAAATATATGGAGAACTGAATGAGTGCGAAATTGTTCCGACGATGATCGATAGTGTTTTCAATAAAAGAATGTGATATTTTTTCATCGCAATTCAGAGTTTGTCCTTTGCGATAGTGAAATAGCAATGAATGTAATTCTGATTTGATTCATTTGTTAATCCCGTTTCTTTTTCATTTTATTTGTCAAACAATTTTTTCAATCGTAAATTTCACTGCAATATAATTGATTAAGCAAATTCTTACAAATTTGTATTAAGCAACCGACTTATTAGAGCGTTATAGTGGCATCATGTTTTCGGTAACATAATTTGTTTTATATTTAACAGCGTATTTTTTTAAGAAATTTGTCACAACATCCTAAAGAAGAATTGTTTAAGTAAAAATGCAACAATAGTGTAATATTGTCTGTTTTCTGATATTTTTCTGTAAAGATATGAAAAAGAATCACGGTTGATAACAAATGGATTAACGATCGTTCTCATGATCAATTGTCCGGCATGCCAAGACTTTCCGACCTGTAGCGTAGAGGCAGGTACTTGTCCACATAGTATGTAATTCATTGTTTCGTTGAACAATACCGCATCAGTTCCGCCGTGGCGAGATAATAAACCAACGTGCAAGAATCCAACCCCCGTTTTACTTCCCTTGAAACGTTCCCTTGCGACGTTCTTCACACCCGCACTGACGGCGACCTTTTCTCTCGGTCAAGAAGACGACTTGTAAGTGGTTACGATCACAATTACAGTAACTGTAAGGATACTCATGCTGACATTCGAAAGGGGGCAAAACAATGAATTTCCATAATATGTCTTTGATACCTGGCGACAAATTTCTAAATTTCTACTACTTTCTGCTACGATCCTGGCAGGATATCTTTCTGGGCAACAGATTTAATTTGAAAACCAATCGATTCTAAAGTTAATTTCTTTCTGCGCCATTTCCATCTATGTTGTTCTTAGCATCTTATCTTTCGCATTCTGCACTGTTGTGCGAATCATTTTGATCTTACCAGAATCGGCGCTTGATAAATCGATACATAGAAAGAAAGAGACCTCTTGGTGCTTCTACCGAATCTCGAATGCAGATCAGAGGAGGGTGCAGTGGAGGCTCTGGTGCGAGACAACGATTCGAATTAAAAAAAAAAAAAAAGAAGAGAAAAAAAAAGAAGAGTGACACAAACAGATACAGTCGCGAATCCAAGACGCAGTCCAGTATGTGTGTTGTGTGCACGTATGTGTATGCATGTGTGTATGTATGTATGTATGTCTGCCACCTCGTGCGCCATGCTCCTCGATCGACACGAGAAAGACCCACCGACCGATTAGATCGTCTTCTCTTTTATCTTTTTGCATGAACGATCGTGCGTCTCAGAATTTGCGTCAAGTGAAAAATAAAAGGAGTGGTGCGCGGAACGTGAAAGGAAAAGTGAGGGGTGTAAAGGTGCGCTGACGCATGCAGACTTCGTAAACGTGCAGTCACACGGACGAGACAAGATCATAATGCTATTCTCATTCGATTCGTCGACGCCTCTGAATGTGAATGCAAATTAGTCCCCGTGACACACGGATTTTTTAAATATTTTTAATATTTATTTATTTTACATAAGAAAGCAACAAATGCAGGCGTATCATTAACCCATTATCGACATTAAAAATAAAAAGTTATCTAAGTTTGTCAACTATTGATAATATCAGAGGTACAAAATGCGTTATGAGCAATAGTAGCTGTTCCAATGTTGCATAATCAGTAACTTTTGCTTAGTGAACATTGCGAAATTTTAGCGGGCTTGAAACTTTTTTCATCTCAGATCAAAAGATCGTCGACGTCACGTCGAGAACGTTTTTCTTTAAATGTGACGTGATACACATGCTCCGTGCTCGCGGTATATTTATATACTCATTGTCGAGAAGTGATAAAGCCTTTTGGTGATCAGCGTGCGGCGATTAACATAGTTGAATGAGTTCTACTATTGTAAATAGGACGTAACAGAGAGAATAAACGGGCCAGTAATAAAAAGAAACTATCGAGCGATGGTGCGAAATATGTAGGCTCCGAAGAGGTGAACGACAGACAAAGAGAGAAAAGATTAAAGTCATATAGCTGAAAACAAAAAAAAAACCAGGCCAGAATCGTCTAAACAAGCGGGAGAGGGGAGGGTAGAGAAGTGGGCTAAAAAAGCACTCTCGAGCATTCCGTTAATCGTAGTACATTAATCAGCAATAAAGACAGAAGAGAAGAGGCAGGTAGTAGAGATTATAGGTGAGGTAGAAGTGACGTGATTACCGATGCACACAACACGCGCTATTGCTCACCAATTGGGCGCAGTACGGCACCTGCAAGGATACCCATTGTTAGGCTACATGAGGTTAGTCATCACGGGCAAAAGTGGCGGGGTTAATTTACAACAGCATGGTCACAGGCAGACAATGTTTCCCCGGCGCAAGTCCCCCTAACATTCCCCCCCTTGCTATTTTTTCTCCCACGTGACCAGGACCTCTCTATGCCACGCCGACGCTCGTCCGCGATCGTCACAGCTCAAAAGATCGAACCGATTATTTCAGTAGAATCAGCCAAATTCCACTCCAGTGGTCTTCGGCTAATTATTGTCGATATTAGTCACTGATGAAATTATGCTTTCGCTCTTAATTTGAAAGAATTGATATCAGGCAATCGCGGATCAGATAGGCAGGGTCGAGGTCGTGGTGCACGCTCGGTCGCTATGATCCATATTCAATTAATCATCGTCGGATGGTAAACACTAATAAAATGATCCATGCAGGGCCGACCCGAAGCACGCGCGATCCTGAGATCTCAGCTTGATCTCGATTTACTATTTATTTGTACTGGATGTTTCGATTTTACCGTATCACTTTTCGCAGTTTGAGAAGGTGTAACTAAGATTTCAATACAGATTTCAATACGGTTGTCAATATTCCGGGAAGTAGGTATGAAAAATAAAAAAATTCGATAAATTTGGCTTTGTAAATAATAAAATTAAAATTTCTTTAATTAATTTATACAGAGTTTAGTTAAAAATAAAAATTTAACGTTGAAAACTAATCGAGATTAATAATTTAATAAACGTCAATTTTTATTTTTAATTTACATTGAGGAAAGATCTGTTTTGAACTTTTAGGATTTCAAAAATAATGCGGAAATATGGAACATCCTGTACAGTTTTTATCGTCACCCTAATTACGAAATGTAAAAGTTCAGTGTTTTATAGAAGATACAAAAATATTTTTTTGGGATCAGTGTATATCTATATATAAATAAGTGTGTAAACTTTCTAAGTTTTGCAGACAATCTAAGTTCTAAATTGTTGATTAAACTATTGATATAATCATTTGTCACAAACTAATCTAGCTATTATGAACTTGAAGATTAAATTAACTAGAAATATTTGTGAAATACAATTTATACTTAGGGTGACAATAGAATAACAATGACGAGAAAAAAGCACTCGATGAAAAAGCGAAACAACGAGCTTTCTCGAGATTCAGAGTTTTTTTCGAGACTCGGTTATGTGTACCGAATGTTTTCATGTCCGTGGCAGTGTTCGATCGCATTCTATGCTTATAATTTTTAGGCGTGAAGAGTAATACTTCCGCACAAAAGGAAACTATCAAAAATTGTTTTTTTATATAAATCATACGATATAGATCTTATTTCTTAATTCTTTATAATCTTCTAAATATTATGTATTATATTCGACGACAACGAATTGCCTCAACTAATTGCGGCATTTGTTTGGTACAAAAAAATTATCTTCTCCACATTACAACTTTATTTAAATAATGACAACTAAATTTTTTTATATAAAAAAAGCGTTATATAAAGTCTTCAAAATTTGGAATTTATAAAAGGATTATATGGATTCTTTACTAATCTTTATAATCTAAACTACAAAATAGAATAGATTTCAAACAACGACAGATCGTGTGTTAAAATTACAAAAAAACGGATTTAGGGCTCTAGGAGGAGACACTCATTTCATAATTTAAGATACGACGAACTCTACCACGTGCAAGGCAGGCAACGAAAAATAAACATCTAGTTTAGGCTAGCTTGGGACGCCCCTGGATGTGTTTTACTAATATCAATGAATGAAATATGTTTTAAATACATAATTTACAGTGATAAATACAGCTGATAATCGCATAATGACAAGGCTAGCGCGACGCAATAGTGCATGCTGGGAGAAGATGCTCGGTAATAATTATTATAATACAGATAATATTAATCACATTGATCGATTTTAATTAAGTACTAACAAGCTACTTGACAGCGTCTCACTTTATATGTACTTAGCATCGAGATATTTTACTTGAATTTGATTACTTTAATTGTAGACAAATGTGAAATTAAATTCTGACATATATCTTTCGTATTAAACGCGATTATTCTTCTCTCAGCATTGTATTAATTAAAAATTTCAGCATTTAGCTTTGCAGAAACGATTCGCGTTAATACACACCGCAGGAACAAACGGCATACTGCACGAAAAGAAAAACAGTCAGTACCTTGTACTATTCGAGGATTGTCTACTGACGACAAATAAAACAGAAAGATAAACAGAGAATAAGAGAATCGAGAAAATAAAATGATACGAATGCTTGTGTGTGCGATTTTATGCATATATGGCAGTTAATTCAACCGGATATATCAAGAAGAAAACGGAGACTACCGTAAAATGTGGGAGCGAATATTTCACGATTTAACATCAATTAAAATAAAATCGGCCTCTCATGATTTAAATATTTCTACAAAAGTTTTATTTGCTTTAAGAAAAACTAGTATGAGAAACTAGTACACAATTATTACTAATCATTTTATTTAAGTACATTAATACGCAAATTTATTATGTACAAAAATGATGATGATGATGATAATGAAATGAATGTTAATTATCCTTGTCTAAGTCTAATGTCAAACGAATGGATCGATATAATTGATTGACACGTTCGTGTCAACGTTCCGCCATGTACATATATTTTATACATGTTCACGATGAACGCCTCACACAGCAACTGGTCGTACGTCGGCATAGTACAGCGAGCGCAATTGAATAGGCACATGACATTCACGGCTAAATTGAGGCAATATTTCGTTTCATTTACTGACCTTGAGCTCTTGAATTCGCGAGAAAAGTGAGCGCAATGGCGATACAGATCTTGTTGAGATGATCTTCGATTCGGATTTGTCGTTTGAGTTTCGTCGCATTATTATTGAATAGTGCATAATTTTTCTGCGAAATCACAATTTTAAGAAGCACGCAAAAAGATGTAACGTTATTCTATGCTTTTTGTAATACATTTTCCGTATTACAAAAGTTAAATAGAAAATTGCAGACGTGTATTAATTTGTGAATGATAATTTGGCTAATTTTTGTGCTGATCATCCTTACTTCTTCTGTACCCATGGCGCCGTCCTTTTCCGACGAACCCCCCCTTATCCTATTCTGTATCCTTCGGATCTCGCACGGGTCAAGGACCGGCGATTGCGGGTCCTGCGATGTGACGGATGACAGGGCCGATCCTCCTCCTTACCTTGCACTCGCACGTGGTGCACTTGTCGTAGGGGTCCTGCCAGGAGCTGCCGCTGTCGTGGACGATGCCGGCGTAGCTGCACGGCCGGGGACGACTAGGAACCGTGAACGAGGTGCCGTTCGCCGGCACCTCTCGAGCGCAGGGATCGTCCTCGCAGCGCGGGCAACAATCGCCCTCTTCGGTCACGGGATTCGAGCAGGTCACCGGTGGACACTCCATCTGCCAGCAGTCTATTTCGCCGTACTGCAACAGATTGTGCGAACTTGAAGGACGAGAGTGGCGCGTTTTAAAGTCTCCGATTCGTAGAAGATTAATTAGTTTGATCTCTTTGTCGGCGAATTATATTTTCCCGATAGAGTTGTGATATTGTTGTTTTTTTAATAATCCAAGTTTTTGCAATGTGTCCGACTTCTTCTAGTTCGTTTATTCTATTACAATTCTATCGAGTTTGAGAGTGTATATAGCTACACAGCTGAGAGACAGATTTTTTACCAGGCACTCGCAAGTCTGACACTGGTATATCCAACGATCTCCACTTCTGAAAACTAGATGATGAAGCTCCTGATGTCTGCAGGACGCCGCAGGGTCGCACTGCGGACAACACTTGTCCCTTTGGCTTCCCGGCGCGCTGCAGTCGCACACGGGGTCCTTGCAAGTGATCACGCCGTCTTGGCAGGTACATCTCCTGCAAGGATTACCGGCCGGCGCCAAAGTTTCGCCATTGTTGACTTCGCGGCCCTCGAACCAGCAGCCTGTAAATACAAAAATAACGTAGCAATAGTTTGTACAGTTAGTTTTGGAATTTTTTAATTTAGAATTTCTAAATTTTGAAAAATTTCAACTTTGAAGAGTATCTCATTTAGACGAGACGGATGAACTCACTGAGTCTGCATTCTTCCCCGGACTCTTCTAGGTCCTTCGCCGGCGGGCACACGCACTCGTAGCCGCCCTCGGTGTTGACGCATTTCGCGGTAGGGTGACACGTGTGCCGCCTTTCGATCGTCAGGTCGTTGCACTCGTCGATGTCGAGGCACTGCGTGCCCTGAGTGCTGTCATGCAGGGCGCTCCTGTAGCCGGGCTTGCACCGGCAATAATACCAGCCGGGCATGTTGAAACACGTCGACGACTGGTGACACCGGTGCAGGTCGCTGGCGCACTCGTCTAGGTCGAGCTCGCAGCTATTGCCGATGTAACCGCGTCGACAGGAACACCTTCCGGGCGCCACGCACTCGCCGCCATTCTGGCAAGTCTGATTGCACACAGCTGCGCGAGAAAGCCTCGACTTTATTTCACATCTCGAATCCTTCATTTTGAGGCATAGAAATGTTCTATTCCTATTCCGTTTTGAAAATTGAAGCTAAGTTAAAAGTTAACCCTTGAATACTCGACGCGTATTTAGTTTATTGATGATTTATAGACACTTCGCAGTGTATAATTAATTTATTCGTTGAAAACAAAAGAGTCAAAGTGATGAAGAGCGATGGAAATATTTTTCTGCTTTTCCACTTCTCGCCATCTTCCCGAACAGTATATTAGAGAAAAATAAATGTTTTTCACTTCAATAAATCTTCTTTTATCGCTTTCATCGATGCGATAAAAGTGTCGCAATTGTTACGATCGTTTGTATACACGTCACCCGAGAAACAAACATTCCGATGAAGACGCTTACGCGAATCATTTTCTATTTCCAACTTTATTAGATTCTTTAATAGAGTATACCAGGGTGTGAGAAGTATGTGTTTGTTCAATAATTATTTCACAAATTGCTCGAAAAGAAAAATATGTTTGTAAAAGCACAAACATTTCTATTTATCAATATTATACAAATAATAATTATTGTTTTTTTCCATTTGTTCTTTTATTTATCTGTTTTTATTAATCTAAAGTTGATTGAAGTAATATTCAATTAGAAAAATGTCGATGAGGAAAATAATAATCAATAAAAAATGTATTAATTTACTGCGCTGAATATCGATTGGGAAATTAAAAATTAATTGCATTATCGAGATGTAAAAAGCGATACTGTACGTTTGCATGTGTAACCATCGCCGGTATAGCCGTCCTTGCAGATGCAGTAGTAGCTGCCGGCAGTGTTCACGCATGTGGCATGCTTGTCGCACTGGTGATGACCAGTCGCGCATTCGTCCAGCTCGGCACAGTTGAACTTGTCGACTCTATGGTAACCCGGAAGACACTCGCACGTATAAGAGCCGATCACGTTGACGCACCTCGTGTTCGCGTTGCAATGATGACCGTCCGATCCACCTTGCTGCTTGCACTCGTCGACATCTAAATGACGAGACGAAAAAAAAAGCGTCACTGATCGTGCAATCAATAAAATAAGTACAAATTTTTTTGCGATTAATTTATCGGAAAAAAAGAAATTTACTATCAAATATAAGCGATAAAGATAATAATTTATTATAAATTTTTCTTTATCTATTAACATATTTAGGATAATAGTGATATTTGTATATATATACAATTAATAAAATAAAATTTATTAACGTCAACGAATAATATTCTTAAATATTTGTTTTTTAATGTTTTCAATTTTTATTTAAATACTTGTTTTTAACTGAAACAAAATAGAGAAAACATAGATTATGTGGAAGTTTTACTGATAAGAGTTAAACTTTGAATTTGCATGCTTATCGAGGATGAATCCGATGTAGACGGGATTTCAATTGCATGAGTAAGTTAGGTAAGCGTTAGGTACCGTGACAGTTAAGACCATCCCCTTGGAAACCGTTCTCGCAATGGCAGGCGTAGGTCGTCTGGAGGTTCAGACAGGACGCGTTAGCGTGACACTTGTGGCCCTTCGCGCAGTAGTCCACCCCTGGTTAAATTGGGTTAGCCAAGCAAATACAGAAGATGGTTAGAAGATTTAATTAGTAACCTAGCGAGTTCAGCGAGAATGCTGTCCCTCGATTTGACATCGGTAAAACCCTCCCATGCGTAATGGAAACCATAATTTATTAGTAATGGAGAGTAGCGACTTTATGGATTAATAAAATTATTTCATTCTACTCACGTAGAACTAATAAAATAAATACCACAGTCTATATATTTTTAATAATTTAACGAAGCACGTTAGTGCTCGCCATGATAATTATGTAACTTAATTATCATGTCGTTGTCCCTGGTTTTTACCTTACGTAATCTTTATAACTATTTATTTATCCCTTTCGATATAATCGTGGGTTCGTGTGAATGCATATGCATTGACTCAAGGTTAGCAGAAATGAAGGAGGCTTGAAAATTGCCGGCAAAGAAATTCCATGCATGAGAGGGTTAATTAAAGTTAATGATGCGCGAGCTATGCGAACTACGCTCCGTTTTGCTGCCCCGGTCGCAAAGCTCTGTTACTTTTTCATGCTTGTCATTCTTTCAGGCTCGTTATTATAACATGCCGCATTGAAAACCTCTATTCACTGTACTTCATTAACGATAAAAAAATTTCATAATGTATGTAATTTAAAATAAAACGTTGTGGCTTGAATAGGAATAGAGTTAGTTAATCGCGTAAAATTTTTTGCCCTGGTATGAAATATCACATTTATTTATTATTTAGTTTCGCAAATGTGAATTTGAAAATATTAAAAATTACTTTTGCACCGTTTTTCCGAGCGAGAACCTACCTGGGCAAAATTTGCAGCACTCCTCTGCCACGCTGATTTGCTCGCTGGGTGGACACGGCAGTGGTGGGCATTTTGTATTGGTGTCGAATCTCTGGCAGGTGAAGCTACCGTCGGAGCAGCTGCATTCGACGCACTGTTTCGGCGATACCTTCTCGCCGTGATCGTAAATTACGCCGCGCAAGTAACATTGTCCTAAAGAGGCGAACGTGAACGACGAAATAAATAATGTGTGAGCCACGAGACGGAAGCGGTCAACGGAACAGAAAACACGCTACTAAACAGCCAGTCGCGTGCGTGAAAGCGAAAGGATGGATTCGCAGAAAGGCGATGTTGTATTAAAACGCTCGATAGAATTATTCTTTCAGCATAGAACTACGCGATATTCCAAAGCCGAGAAAAATGTGAGATATGAATGATTTATCGCCGATGATTCCGAGCAAAGATAACAAAGAGAGAATCTTGAGAATGTTACTATATATTTCAACCATATAAACACTTCAACGTAAGTACAATTTTTATTAAAAGTTATGGGATCGAGAAAAAATTGCGAATGAGGATTGAAATAAAGAGATGAGAAAGACGGAGATGCAATATTTTACTCACTGAGACAAATCGGGCAACACTGTCCCTCGGGAGTGGTGGGATACTTGCAGGTGACCGTAGCGCAGGGCGTCTTTCTGCACTCGATCTCGCCGTGAACGCAGGAACATTGCTGGCAACCTTTCTCCCAAGTCGCGCCGTCGTCGTGGACGGTACCGTTCACCCTACAGGACTTTTGGCGCTCGCATTCCTCCACTTTGCTTATCCTGCCCTCTGCAGCGGCTAGCTGAAAGGAAGGATGTTTATGAGCGAAAACAAATTTCTTTTGTTTTCTATTAAATAAATATTACGGTGCTTTTATACATAAAGAGCGGATGCCATTCTAAGAATTTTGAAACATATACATAATTATGCAAAAGAAGATTGTAATATTCTAATTTTTTCGATCGAATTTGCTCAGCGTATAAAATGGCGTATAAATTACTCACCCTACGAGTCAATTCATTAAGATTGTGCATTAGTTGTTCCACGGTATTCTGTAATATTGAAAATTGGCCGCATGTGGGGCAGGACGAATCGAGCTGAGGACACTGGGAAAGATAACCGTGAGGTCCTGCTATTAGCTTGACGTCCTGCAAAGCACCCTGTGGTGCGAAAATCATACGAACTGCTCAGTCAAGCGTGTCAAACTTCTAAATATATATGTAAGAAGATGATATTCTATTTTTTCATTAAGATGTACAATTTTCTATTATATTTCTGTTACATAAAAAAACCAATCATAATTTTACAAATTATACAATTTTATAATTATAACTAATCGATGATTAGCGGGCATATTGAAACAGGAATGAATAAAATGGAGAGTGTGCACGCTATATAGAGAACCGTGCGGTTTCACCTTGAAGAGAAAGTGCCTGACGTTCCGCTGTCCGACCCAGAGCTGCAGTTGCGGTAGAGTGAAATTGGTGTCGGGTGGACCAGGCCTTAGTAATCGCCTGTACAAGGGGTGACAATCGACCAGCAGCTCGACCTGCGAGCCGCTTATGCTCAGGGCGACCCTGTGCCAGGCGCCGTCGGCTAGTCGAAAAGGAAACGCCTCGACGTGTACGGTTCCGTCGCGGCGTGATACGTAATGAAGTCGAAGCTCGTCCTTGCGACCGCTGCTCTGCAGCTCCAAGTACCTGATGCACGTTGTTCATATCATTTATTACTGATCATTCAGAATTTAATCTGAAATTATTATATAAATTTTATATTGTACGTGGCATGTTTAATACGCGAGATACTTTTTAACGCAAATGTTATTAGTTTTTATAACTATTTTATTAGTATTTTCTATACTTATTATAAAGATTTCTAGTTTTTATTATTTTTTCCATTATTAATGTCACAAGAGTATTTTGAAATTCTTCCATCAATTAAAGTTTTTATTATGTAGCGGGTAGAGGTATTAAAGCCTCATATTTATCGCAAAACAATTGAATTACGTCGTTATTGCTAACGGGATGTATTTATAGGCGATATATAATTGAATTTCTGGGAGCTTATTGGCCTTGAGAAGCTTATTGGATTTTTATTAAAATTAATCGTAATTGTGGCATGTTAACCGCCACAATGTGATGCGCGCGAGAGCGAGTCTATCCAATTTGTGCCAGCCGGGTCAAAACGACTAGGCTGCACTTTCGGAGGATGCAATGTTGAGCTGAGTGCTGCTTCACACTCGCTCGACAATTGACACACTAATTTCTTTTGTAGTCGATATATACCGAAGTTGTAGAACTGAAAAAAATTGAGAAACAATTTGCAACGAAGAAAATATATAATAACATGTGTAGAATTGTTGCTTAATAGCTCGTTGCAATAATATTCTTGAATGGATAATAATAATTCGTTGTCCTAGTTGCGTAGAGAAACGCCGACGTTATTTAAATAATAAAGTATGATTTAACAGTGGGATTATTGTGCCGCACACATTAAGTTCTCCGGACAATGTCATAAAACAGAATAATGCAGAATCATCTGCAGCAATTTATGAAAGCTGTATTTTAGTTTCAATCGCGAATTCGAATGATTCGTAAAGAAATATTCGGCCATCTCATATCTTGCGAACATATTTTATGATATAATCTACGAAATATTATATTCCCTTAAGTGAGAATAGAATGTTTTCTCTTTCCGGGTTAGGTTTAAATCATTTCTCAGCATTCGAAATAGGTCACAGCTCTGGCCGCCGAGCTCGAAATTCCCGAGCGGCGCGCGAAGGACAGAAGGGTGGGAAGGAAATTTTCAACATTTTCGTACCTATTGTTCCCGTGCGAAAAGGCGACGATCGTCCCGGAATTGGCCTCCTCCTGGCGCAGCGCGGCGGCTATAGTGAATTCCGGAACCCGCCGGAGTAGCGCGGCCGCACGTTCGAAGCTCGCCTCGTTCAGTCGGAGCTCCCTCTCCTCGCCTGAAAGTAGTAAAACACCGTGATCGGTGCGGCAAGATGGAATGCGGTGCGGCAAACCGCGTTCTGGAATTCTTAGCTATCATATCTTACTCAGCACTTTACCCGAAGGATCTGTGCCACAATCTGTATCCAGTATATCTAACTTTTCTAATACTTAAAAAATTTATCTTAAATTAAGTGCATAAAAACGACAAAGAAAAATATAACATAAGTAGGAATAAAAGATGCGTAAACAATATTTTATATTATTAGCTATTGATATGTTAGAAGTTGAAAATATTGAAGATATTCTAACAGTTCATAGATACATAAGGAAAGTCGCTTGCTATCCTTCGGAAAATCGATGCGAGGCTGATTTGAATTTTTAACCCGGCTTCTATCAGGTAAGGTTAAACCTTCCGGAAAGCATCCGGCTTGAATTTAGAGCACGACGAGCGACTATTAGTCAGTCGCATAAGAAAAGAGTAATATTGGAATTTAATAATAATGATGATGAATAATGATGAATTGAGCAAGTACAGTGTGGGTTCTCGGAAAGTGGTACTTAAATTGAACTTGCATATATCATACATCAGAATTTATTGAAAAAATGTGTACGTTATTCATGTAGCATAGTGAACGGTCGCTGTTAAAAATTAACAATATAATACCACTCTAAGTATGTATCTTCCTGGAAACAAATTTCTTAAAGCACTGTTTTCAGTCACTAATATTTCACGTGCCTTATGAAGTAATCAAAAATAATCAAACAATTTTCATCTACTATTATTTAACAGTAATATAAATACTTAATTCATTATAGACTAGTTTTCTTAAAAATATGAATATCATAACTGTGCCATTAGTTAATTTATTTAATACACATGTTTCTCACGGGAACGAAAGAATTATTACGAAAACTATAACTTGCTGCCTTGTCGCGCCATGTTTCCTATATAACGCCGGGAAGCAAACAAACAATCGCCAAATAGATTCCACCCACGAAGTTGCCTTGAAGTAACAATATTTTCAACATTACGTAAAGCGTCATGCGTTAAGCGGAACAGACGAATCGTCTGCTGACTGCAGTAATGCGAGAACTCGACTATCGACTCGGCGAAGGAGATTAGAGCTCGGCAATGTAGGCCACCCCGAATTTTTGGAGGGTATTTGGTCGCAGATTCTCTGCGCACCCGTTACGTAACCGTATCGACGCGAAACTTCAATTGTCGTAGCTTTCATATCCGGCTTTCTCTTTGGAAAAACACATTTGTCAAAAACAGGTAGAATTACAAGCTCTCAGTAAACTTAAATCAATCAAAAAATTGTCATTTCTTAAATTCCGTTGCTCTTGTTATCATTTCATATATAAATTTCATAGCAAAATAAATATTTTATATAAAATTAAATTTTCATGAATTTAATTAGTTACCATTTTTTTAAATTCAATCCGCTAAAATAAATAATAATACCTAAATTTCCAAATAGTTCACAATGATTTGCGTGTATATAAAGTTTCAAGTGAATGTCTTAATAGACATTATCTGTATATCGTATTCCGTTGCATGTATAAACCGCTCTCCCCTCTCTGCTATTACCGAAGCTCACGATGTGCAAATCGATCATAGCTATACTTTGTGCATATTCAATTAACACGTCGGGTCCGAATGCTTGCTGCTTGTCCGAGTAGCTATCCATTAGACAGATTAATACGGCCATTTGGCAAATTACACCGCAACTAATCCGTTGCAATCGACAATCCCGCTGTCCGTCTCTATCGCGGCTTCAATATCATCGTCATTAAGCGACCCGTGTAATGTGTCACGCACAAACGAGAAATCCTGCAGCTGTGCAATCAAAGGGGCAATAATTTTTCTGTCTCCATTTTTTCCCACAGAAAAATATTTATATCACATTAAACTATTTATATTACACAAAAACATCAAACTTGTTAAACAGTTAAACCCTAAATCTCGCGGTTGTTTTGTATGAAAAAATTCATATTTATATTATCGTATTTCACAAATTGCTGAACAAGATATTTATATTTAAAAAATAAGAGTTCAGCAATTTGTCAATTTTATACATAGCAGTGCTCGTTTTTTTTATTTTTTTTTTTTACGAAAAAACAATTGTTCAAAGAGGGGACACCTTATTACATAGCTGCTGCGTGTAAAACGCAGTGTTCTGCCGCTGGCTGGCTTCTCGCGGCACAAAGTGCGCCTCGAATTTCAGATGCGCCGCCGGTGCGCACAGAGTAATCGGACACCCGTCCGATAATAAACCGTCGGCACCTTTCGCGCGCGAGTCTCGCCACCTACGACGAAGGGGTCCGTCGATCGGCGGCGACATCGTCGAGCAATTACGTACGCGCACGCTTAATTATAATGTAATACCATCGGCCTGTGGGTGAGTCGAGAAAGAATGGTCGGCCGACTACAGCGAAGAAACACCCCTAACCGAGCGCTGCTCGCTCGTCTTGAAAGAAATCGTTTCGCGCGAATTGGCACGCACCAGCCAACCAACCCTTTCGCTCGAGCTGACGCGGGCAGAAACCATAATTTGACCGTGAAATTTTGTTTTCGCTACACGAGGACTAGCTGCAGTTTCGAATAGCGGAAAAATGATCGTTTCCTGTGGGGTGATTAAAGTAGAGTTAAGGATATTCGGTTTTTAGAATGCTTGGGATATTCGCAAGTATATTTAACAATTTTTCTTTCACATTTCGATGAAATTTTGACAGATTTCGAAGAGCGAAAGAAATTGATTCTGCTGTTCTTCCTTTTGTTGATATTCAAATTATACGATTGTAATATTTTCTCAAAAGCTATTTGGAAATTAAGCTCGTAATATAATTATGATTCTGCCCTTTGCATTAGATTGCAATTAATAATAAAGTTTCAATTTTTAATATTAATCATGTAATAAGATTTTTATATGGTTACCATCGTCATAATGATATCGTTTCTTCAAGAGTTAAAGCACGTCATAAAAGTTACAAGTAATCGATAACAGATACGGTCTAAAGGCAAAACTCGCGTGTATCGATCTAATTAATTTGTTATAGCATCGTGAAATATTTATAGAACGATTCAATCAACATCCACGCCGAACAACTATGAGAATTAAATAAACATAAAAAAAGTATTTATTTGTGGATATTAAAAGTCGCTTTGTTCGTGATATTGCAAAGAATAATTAATGGCAAGAAAAATTTCGGCGTGTTTGATGATAAATAAAATGTGAGCAATTGCACCAAACTTTCGGGACTTCAATAGAACCGCCGAAATCGTCAGATTGTGCGCCACCCCTTATCCAAGCACAAAGAGGGTCCTAGATCCTATTTTCCACGTTCAGAGAAAACTCTGACACGTGTCGCTGTATATCATTCTCGTCCTTTGTTCTGCAGCAGTCTTGTTAAGAACCAACGGTTCATACCAGATAAATCTAATCCCAAAGAAGTTTCTCTTCCCTATGTCCATCCAGAATGACCGAAATGGGATGAGCGGCTTAAGCAAGAGAAACGATGATGACAGATAGGGAACAAACTAGCGGGAATAAACATTTCTTTATTGCTATCGATTTGTTTTTACACGACAAAATGATCGACTTTAAATAATCGAGCTGCACACCTTAATTGATTTTCACGATTAAATCAATATTGTTTGAAGCACGGTTGTCTTATATCGATACAAGTGTATCTTACAAGTTTCAAACTGATCCAAAGACTTTCGCTTTTAATCTCAGCATCCTATCGGGACATCAATCTCAACGCGTTCATTAGCTGAAGGGTTTAAAGTACTCGAGCTACGATTGCAAACATTTGTCATTCATTCTTCCAAGTCAGCTGGTGAGAACCAGACGGAATTGAGGCAAATATTTGCCGTCGGTACAGAAAAGAAACTATATTACGATTACATCTGCCGACGCGAGAGAGAAACGTGCGCGAGGCAAAAGGACGGAAGTGGCAGGAGAGCAGGAGCGTCAAGGACTCGCAGACGATAAGACGAGCAAAAAGGAGTTTGAGTCCCCCTGCGTTTCCGAGCTTTCGCCTTCGGGCTTCCACGAAGGCGTTCTCGAGGGTGCAGCCCGTGGAAGGGCGTCGGTATAATTGAAATTTCTTTCGGGGAAACCCCACCCTCACTCCCGGTGGCCCAACTTCAACTTCTCCTCCTTCCAGATCCGCTTTCCGCGGCCGTTGCACTGCCACCCACACACCCACGTGGCTTGTACGCTACTCACCGTCGAGGGGGCGGGAGGGGGAGGGTATAATTGGATACACCATGTTATACGGGGTTGAATAGACGCCGCGCTTGTCGATACGAAGGGCCGTCCGTTTAACACAAAACATTGTTTAACGATATCACGATATCTTTCACGATGTCAATTTTAGGAAGCGTATTCCGTGCGCCGCGTATAAAGTGTAAAATTTAGCGACGATTGTTATTCGCGCTTTGCATTATTCGTACAATTCTTTACTTTAGAACGAAAATTAGACGTTTAGTCGCCGAAAGCGGTGAAGCAAGCAACTTCCTGAAATTCAAGAGAACAATCGATACTCGTCGCGGGGGAATACCCTTTCGGCGTCTGCGAGCGGAGACGACGCGTAGGCGGTGCTATCAAACTGACCTTTCGCAATATCGATTAATCATACGTTGCATAACCAGCATCGTATAATATAATGAGAAGCGCATGCATCCGTCAAAGGCCACCGCAATATATTTTAGTCTGCTTGTTTCTCGAGGGATTGCTATAAAATTATACATTGAATTGTAAATTGTGTGATTGCTTTATGCAATCCGTTTCAATGCTGCGTGGCAGTAAGTTTTAATCGGACGTAATTACGTATTTATTTAAATATTTTTATTGGGCATGTAAAGTGTATCTAAAAAATGTAATTATGTCTTTAATATTATTATTTGTCTAAATTATCGTAGAGTGCGTATAATTTTTTAAAATATTGTACGTAATATAATATTATCGTACGAAAATGATATAATTACAAATTTCTTTGATAAGAATTTTAATTTCAACATAATTTACGTTTAGAAGTTTATCTCACCATCCTTCACACCGTCTGAATTTAACTCTCGGAGGATGGATTACGTGACGCGGAGCTTAGTTTCGTGGGTCATAATTCAGGATACGTAATCATCGTCTTTGCGGAACGTAATAATTGCAGCGTGTGTTATACGAAGAGCGAGAAGAGAATTGCTAGTATAAAGAATGACCTGGCGGTATGCAAATTAAAGGAGTATTCGGGTTAAGAGAGCATTACAGAAGTAGCAGCTTCGTGTACGAGTCGTACGATTTATCGCGTAGTATATATCTAAAGAGATGTGAATCATGTAAAAGGGTTTATTTCCTGCTCGTAAAACGACGACGGGCGCGAAGGTGCTTTAATCCATTTCCTGTTACGTGAATATATTACTTAAAACTTAAAAACCAATTGATTTATTTAAACTAAAAATAGTTTTGTTTCCCAAGGCAACTTCCTGTTGAGATATCAATTTGTTGGCGTGAAAAACTGAATCACAATCTACAGGAGGAAAATAAATAAATTTCTTTTGATTAGCTTTTACAAAATATCAATAAGCGTTAATGACTCGATTGGATTTTTCGGTCTTGCAACATCGAGATATCTTTTTATCATTATCTGCACGATAGTTAAAGGTCTCGGGCGAAAATATGTTGGGCGAAAGGCGAACGACCGAAAATGCCGGATGGTTGACTCACCCTGAAGATAATAGGCTGGCTTCAGCCTAATTAGACCCGGCACCTGCGTAATGCCTTCCCGAGTAGTATTGTGCAGCTGCAGAGCTGCCAACAGGTCTATTCCTCCTCCAGGATCGTTCGCTGTCCTGGTTCTCGTCCCCAGAACCATGGTAGTCCCTTCTGTGACCGAAGATACCGTCTCTTCCTCTTTCTTATTCGTCGTTCCAGACACTGAAACAATCAATTTTAGAATGTTTACTTAAGTAGCTCTACTTAAAAAATAATTTTCTATGTTTAATTAAAAAGATATTAATAACACAATGAATTATTATAGATAAAATTAGGATATTGCATTGATAAAAGTGATTAAAATATTCAGGTGTATAAAAATTACAAAAAATAAAATCTGAACTATTCATTTCGTTATTTTCTCACTTATGCATATTATCGTTGTTTCAATAACACGACAATCAATTATTTTAAAGATGACAATTCCATTTCACTTTTAAAACCTCTGCGTTCACGCTGTGTCGATCAAACAATTCCACGCTCTTCTAGTTCGATGCGTAAAGCCCTCCCCCTCTCTCTCTCTCTCTCTCTCTCTCTGCGTGATAAAAAGGTTCTTGAATTTGTTTCGTCGATTATCGCGCTCCATTTTTTTTCTTTCGGCAATTCGATTTTATCTCCGATTACACTGGTTGACAAGGAAGAATCTTTCAGCAGAGTAACCATGAATGGCTCTTTGAAGAAACTAAAATCTTTCATCAAGTCAAATGAAAAGAACCGAAAAGGGAAAAAGAAGAAGAAAACGATCATAAGCAGTATAGACTTTCGGAAACGGCGGTATTGATCGACTCTTCACAGTCGACGCTCGTTATCGGCGTTTCCGCGCTTTTCCCCGTTCCATGAAGCTTTCAACCCCTTCCGCGAAACCATCCGCCCTCCCTCCCCGTAAACAGCCTGTTTTATCTATCGCATCTCCACCCTCTTTCTGTGTGCACGTGAAATCCATTCCGCCTCTGTCGCGTCGACTTCACGTTGATAATGATTGAAGTTCCGTGGAAAAAAGCTTGCCCGTCTGTCCACTCTCGAACAAGCCCCTCGGCCGAGATGGCTACTTTCGCGAAGAGTGACAACCCTTGACATTCGGTTACGTGAGACATACGCTCGCAACGAAGACCTGGTCTTCCCTTCTGACAGTTTTGATTAGCGATCGTTGAAGAAGAACGATAATGGCTAGAACGGATAGTATTAATACTCTCATCAAGTCTGATATATTTATAATAAAGTATTTTTATATTAATAAAAAACAATAAAATATTTTTGAATTGGTGTCGCGAGATATAAATGCGTTGCTTTGAAAAATCTACATTTTTCAAAAAATACAAAAATTGAATGAAATTAAAAATAAATTTTTAAACGTATTATTTTTATTGCGTGCTAATCGTAATGAAGATGTGAATATTTGATCTCGCCAATATTGAACGTGATGAGATTACAAGTCTTTCTAATGAATTAAAAATTAAAGATTCCTGTTTCTCCTGAATAATAGAAATGAATTAATAAAACAACGTTGGCAGCGAGGGATTTCAATCGATTCGCCGTGATAATATCGGAAGATGAAAGAGTAAAACGCGGGTAGAAAATGAATAAATCAGCACGTAAACGATGTTGGTAGCATCGTTTGCCAACAGAGAGGCGTGCGTCGCCAAGAGTGCGATTCGCTTAAATGCAGTCGCCGAAATCTAGAATGATATTTTTAGCCCGCGCTAAGAAAACATCTGTGGGAAGGTTCATGTCGATCATTTCATGTCCTCAAAGTTTATTTATGCACATATTCGTCTTCTGAGCACTGCACATTCATATACATTGTTAAATAAACATATTATACATCAAGCTAAGATTACTTCACATCAAAAACAATAGATCCTGTTTCTACGCGAATAATCTGATGCATCTGTTGATGTATCTTGGGTAAACGTATACGTCATTGCTCTTTGACTGTGAATACAGTAAACTTTTCAGAAAAAAGCTAATGCTAACAATGATTATGTCTAAAAACGTATTTTGATGCTAAATTAAAACGCTTAATTTTTATTTGTGATAACGCGACTAAAATATTCATATAAATATTTTATTGTTGCAAAACGATACATTAAATTATTAATTTATTATTAATTTAATGTATCGTTTTATTTTATTAAGCAATTGATTATCGCAATTATTGGCGATTACGCCACGAAGCTTCGGCGCTATTTAATTTCGAGTGGAGTTTACGTGTGAGTGCTTCAAAGGCGTGTCATTTTCCTCTAATTACGCAATGAATACGTAAAGGGAAGCCTTAAGAATTTCCTTCCTGCTTTCATGCTTCCGTTTTTGCAACGTGAAAGAGATACCCGTTACCTCATATCGCAGGGCTTTGGCAGCACTCATCGGACTAAATTGCCTGGCAAATTAATGTCCGTTGGCGACTTAGTTTCGTCGTCTAAACCTGTCCGCCTGTTTGCCAACGCATGTCTAACATACGAATTGCATTCATAGGCGTCATGTTTGCTGCGTTTTGAACTTGTAACTAATTAACACACAATCACAGTAGTAGTAGAATAGAACTGGAAATTAAATTGTATCATAAATTCTGTTTGTATGAATATTTATTTAGAGGGATATTCATGCATAAATTACTTCATTTATCTCTAAATAGTAGTTTCGCAAATTTAACGCTTTTATCATGTTACCGTAATAATATTTTGAATCACTTTCGTAATACATTATTTCGCGTTTTTTCATAGCAAAAACTGCTCTCCATAATTCGTTCAACGAACCGAAACTAGTCTTTGAACAACGACGCCTATGCAATTCGCTGCATGTGCGCAAACACACAAGAAATTTCACGTCGTTGGGTGGCTGAAAACTCTCGTAAGTGCTCTAAGACAGCGTGACGCGGGACGAAACGGGATGGAACGGAACAGTGGCAGACTGCCGGGCGTCGCGACGCCTGATATCGAACCGTACGCGGTATTATCGTCAAATTCATGAGAGAAAGAACAAGAGAGAGAGAGAGAGAGAGAAAGAGAGCACACTCGTGACACGTGGTGTCTCCCCTGGCACGACCGTCACCGCCACATTTTCTGGCATTCACAATCACCGCTACGATTTCATCGATAAGTGCATCAGTCGGGTAACCGATGCACTTTGATGGTCGTAACGACCTTGGACGTAATACATTCTTGTCGGGAGTGCTACTGTAAACATATTAGCGTATTAAATTTTTATTTTACATGTATTAAGTTACACAATACAATAAAATGATAATTAAAGAAATTAAATTATTGTTTTGAAAATAAATTTCACATAATTTTCAAATAAGAGATAAAAATTTTCCAAGATTTCTCGAAAAGCAGATTTTTCGGAAAGCAAATTAGAAATGTATGATAAATGATTTGAGTCGCTCTATGATGACACCCTGCCGATAATCATTAAAATTCGATTCTCGCTCTCGTGTCGAGCACAGCTTTATCTTCATCATGAATCGCGCCGTTCGACTACGAATCGTTAAATCGCACCGACTGATTGTCGCATGCCGTGTCTTTCATTCACGACCGACGATGAAGCGAGGCGGTACCGAATGCCAGAGACTGTGTGCTCGCGCGAATCGATAACACGCGACGGTCAAGCCGCGCGGAAACCAACCCGTCCTCGTACGGCGTACGACTCATCGATCGACACCTTCCGTTCCTCCGCGACCACCGGTTCCCTCGGCACGAGTCCCGCGGCCGGCTCTTTGAGGGGGTCGCAGCCCCCGGAAGTCCGGAACCGGCAAGACACACCACGTGTACAATGATGAATTTCGTTAGATACGCACGAACGCGCATTGTCGAATATTATACGCTCGTTCTTCCGTGCTTCACGTGTATATTATGAGGCTTGGTGAACTTTTTTTTTTTTTTATCATTGAAATATCTTTTAACCCCGCGATAGGATCTCTGGGTTTCCGAGGAAATATCAATGGTATGCAATAAAAATGAACTAACTACATGGAAATCGTGCTTACGCGAAATCGTAAAGATCAGATTACCAACGAAATTCTGCTGCGCTTAAATTGATTAACCGATAAATGTGTATAAAGATGGCAATAAATAAAATACGCGATATTTTATGATTGACTACTCGAAGGTATTCTATAAGCAATTGTTTTATGCAAAAAATTTTTCACAACAAAATTTAAAATTCATAGATATATTAATAAATCAAATAAATTTTATTGTAATTTTTTTTTTTAATATAATCAAGTACTCACACTTGAATATTCTTTTCTCTTTCGTGTCTAAGTTTCCGATTTCTAACTGTCCCATCACTGTCGTCACAAAAATGAGAAGGCACCAAGGTGACACTGTTCTTTTCGCCACGAGAGACGACATATTTGTTTTATAATAGCAGCACGATTGTCCGTTCGCTCCTTAGCTTCCCATTATATATCATACTTAATTCAGAGTAAATATCATATAGCTTAATGTTCGTGTTCTCCGCGTTTACGTAAGACACAGCAGTAGCCGGAGAAGTAAATCTGTTGATCTAACTCGTTCGCTATTTTCACGACCCCATTCTGTCCACCGGCCACCTCGCAGCATCGATGATGTATACCGTGTGTCGCTTATGGCGGCGAACCGACATCGATTGCCGGCGAAATCTGGCTTTTGCTGCCATCGAGGGAGTTCACGATTGACTAACTCGGCATCGGAGATTTTTCGATCGCAGGCCAGAAATCGCTTGACCGGACGACGGTATTTCGCGGCGTCAGCGCGAAAGAACGACGTCTGGTCTCACACACGAATCCGTTGCACCATGCAAACGTCCGCCGTTCGATTTTCCCGGCGATGGATCGTCGAATTTCGTCGGTGCGGCATGAGCGACCACACCACCTCGCGCGTGCTCGTTCGATCATCAAACGGTCAAGGTCGCGGCTCTAGTTGGTCGACGACTCGCCTCACGCTAGAGTAACCTCCTTTTTCCTCGATATATTTTTTTTTTTCGCACCAACGAAGTCCCGGAAAAAGCGAAAGTAGGGAAAAACCGAACGCCATTAAATCTTATAGAAAAAGTTTTTGCAATTTTAGCTTCTTAAATTAAATTATATTTTTTTACTGAAATTTTGAATGCTTTAAGAATTTATTTGTTTTTCTTTACATACTAGAGAGATTTATCGCGATAGTTATGCATCTGATTTCCTTTCC